TTTTCATCCCTTGCTTTCCCATTGCATCACACTTTGAGAGCAAACATCTTTTTCTTGAATGCTGAGCTTATTTCACCTCCTGCTGTGCGCTGTCATGCTGAATCCTGTTCAATAAACTATGTAGCTCATTTACAAGTTGACTCTGTTTACCCTAAGCAGCAAACACCTATGGAGGCAGGCTGCTCCATAGGTGTCCATTGGAAGTTTTCAGTTTTCTTACCATCCAATTTTAGTCTTTACAGGCAGATGTAAGGGATTTGTAACTTTTTCCGTCATTAACAGAAAGCTCTGGCTGGGGCTGGTGTTTTATCAGCAGACAGAAGAGGGCGGAGGGAACAGCTAATGTTGTTTGGAGGAGGCAGTTTCAAGATGCCCCATGACCAGAGGAGGCTATGACCAAAGGGCTGTTTTCTTTCCTTCTGTGGCCTTTCCAATTTTTTCTTGCTTGTGTAGTCACCACATCTGTACATATTTGTTACTGTGAGTCATACATGACAATCTATAAATTGTGACAATGTGACCCATCGGTGTTGTGAGTATTTTATTAGTGAGTTTATGTTGGAAGATCCTAAAAGTGCAGCTGGTAATATTTGCTATTGAAAGAGGTTTTTACGCCTTGATTTAAACCGAGCGAAGAGGAAAACTACTGGCTCCTTGTCGGAACTGAAACCGAAAATCACAAAAAGGCAATAAGGCATCCACAGTGGAACAAAATTTATTCTTTGAGCCTCATGTTTCTGTAAACTTCCAGAACAATTAATCTCAAGAAGCTCTTTAGTGTGAAGACTTAATAGATTGCTAATTAGCATCCTCACTAACTGACACTCTCAGTGGAAATATAGGATTGCATCGCCCATCGACGCAATCGTATATGCAAAATGACTGTTTGCCAAAACTCCAAAGCAGTTGTTGAAAAGATGGGCAAGGTGTGTGTGGCATTGAAAGGGAAATAAAAAGTGCTGTGGTAAAGGATAAGAAATAACAATAGTAATTATTTTCCTACAGTTTATTTCAGGTAAATATATATCTCTCAATATTCTAGTAATGTGACTCTGTGATGATTCAGTTTACTTTTCCAATCACCCAGATTGGGTTGATTTTCACCCAGAAAATCAACCCAATCTGGGTGATTTACGTAATGCTGTACGAATATGAAATGATCCAGGCCTGAGTTGATTTGACACAACAAGGTTGAGTCACAGACTTGATCTTTCAATTCCAAAGATCAAGTGCACATTGTCTAAGCTTAGTGCTGCCAGTGACAAGACTGAAAAGAGATTATCCATTCATCCATTTTTACTGCAGCTTTGACGTTGCAAGGCCATGGGAAGTTGATGCTCTTCTCCAAGTCAATGTTAAAGAGATGGAGTGCGCCTTTCCATGAAAGGGCATAATAGTAAAGCACAGAAAAAACAATCGTCCATCCGCACCATTCCACCTAATGGCAGATTGAATCAGAAAATTAACCAAAGCATGCATGTTTTGGTTAGATTGTTGGAATTACCTGGAGGAACAAGTCCTCATAACTGATCCACTGTGCGATCTTGAATGATTTTTGTGTCTAGTTATATTATTCCTGTGACCGTGGGGCCGATGCCAGTAGGAGTTCTCCCTGCAATTGGTGAGCTGCCGGCTTGATTCCCACTCTGGTCACCTTGGTACTTGTGTCCTGTGTAGAGCCACAAACCAAGATAGAGTTTATTAATAGGTGCTGAATATAATTCTGAAAGCTAAAGAATTCAAACTAAACAAAGTCGGAAACAAAAAAAACCCATAAAATTTCTTCCAAAAGCCTTTTATCATTGCTACCCTTCTGTTGCAAATTTTTGATGCAGACATATCACAAAACTTATCACCATCTTTTTTTTAATAGTTTTTATAATTAAAAACTTTTTTAAAATTGTTTTTATAATTAAAAACTTTTCTAATTAGATTTTTTTTTTTAAGAGCCGGAAAGGTCAAAGAACAACACATAACTCTGGACCTGCAGGTTTGAGATGACTGTAGTACACTATCAGGAGAACATAAGAATTTACTTTAATTATTTCGTTCTTAAGGTTGGAACAGAATGTCCTCCTGTCAGCAAAACCTGACATATGGTCAACACAAAACTGCCTGCAGTAGATGGTTCCACTGCGTTTCAGAAAAAGTCAGGGAGGACGCTAAAACTGAAAAGGCAAAGGAATAAATATCCAGCGGGAATTTCTCAACAAACAACTGAATTTGACTAATATCTATCTATCTATCTATCTATCTATCTATCTATCTATCTATCTATCTATCTATCTATCTATCTATCTATCTATCTATCTATCTATCTATCTATCTATCTATCTATCTATCTATCTATCTATCTATCTATCTATCTATCTATCTATCTATCTATATCTATCTATCTATCTATCTATCTATCTATCTATCTATCTATCTATCTATCTATCTATCTATCTATCTATCTATCTATCTATCTATCTATCTATCTATCTATCTATCTATCTATCTATCTATCTATCTATCTATCTATCTATCTATCTATCTATCTTCATATGACATATTATCCCAAAGATGACCTGATAACCTCTATATTTTCTTTATATTCCACTTTCAGTTCAGTTTGTTCTGTTATGTCTTTCTTTCTCCTCCGTCCTCTGAAACTCAAGCTTATCACCTCTGATTGGTTGTCATGGTGATAGACCCTGGGGGGGACTGATCCCAAAACCAAAAGTTTAGCTTTTATTTTATTTTTTATTTTTCCCAGGGTTGCTGTCTGGGGGTTGCTCTTGCATGTTTGAGGAGGAGGAGGAGGAAGAGGAATGAAACAACAAGAGGTGAAAAGAGAATGTGATATGTTTCAGTCAGGGAAAAAAAATGGATGAGACATTAAGGGGAAGAAGCGAGAGACAGGCACAGAAAGAGGAAACAGGAGGGAATGAGGCAGCACACATCCATTCCAACTAGGTCACATCGCAGGAGCATTGCGTAAGCATAAACACTGCTGCCCCTGTGCTGTACCCTTAGTGCACGCACACTCACACAATCACACTGCAACAATCTGTGTCTTTCCAGAACTCACTTCTGTCTGGGAATCAGCCACCTTGCATGATGGTCTGTCTTGCTGACAACATTTGAATGGCATTAAACTAAGATTTGTGCTCATCTTTCTCTCTTGTATCCTTTTTTTTCTCGGATGAAATGTTCTGAGTACATTAAGGCAGCAGAGTGAGCTGTCTTGTCTGTTAACTGCCAAACTGGACAGGAGCATGACACAGCATTTGATGCTCCATATCAGAAAGCACACCCACACCACTGGCTCTGGAGACGTTAGATTGTTGTAAGGCAATTCGTGTGTTGTTCATCAACTATCTTCCCCTTAACTGAGATCGGGATGTGGGGGTAACAGGTCAAGGAGGACAACTCCAGCTTTCCCTTCCTTGGCGTCACTCATTCCTGGGGAATCCAAGGTGTTGCTTGGCCAGAATCATAATGAAGTCCTTCCAACTTGTTCTGGCTTTTCTCCTAGTGGGACAAGTCCAGCAAACCTCCACATGAAGGCATCCAGGAATCATCCTGATCTGATTCTATATCTGTAACACATCAAATGACACCTTTCAGCATCTAGAAGCCACTGCTCTGGTCTGAGGGCACCCAAATGACGGAGCTCCTCACCCTGTCTGGAATGATAAGAATCATAGATATGGTGCATCCTCCACCCTATGGAAAAAGCTCAGGTACATTTTTCTTAGTTGCTCTGGTCATTTATTTATTATTTTGTTGCATCAGAATTTAAATTCTCAAACATACTGGTTCAATCTTTAAACTATTGTGTCACTTTTGTACATCAAAAAAGGTGCTTCTCAATTTTTTGAACAAGTTGCAAATGCTATGATGGTACATCCGAGAGATACTGTATAACTCTCTGCTACACATTTCCTACATTTGCAGTTGCTATTGTCATCATGTTGATCAAAATGTATTGTGTTGGTATCTGCTGCATAGTCTCATCATCTACAAAATGTATGCTTAAGGTCATTGCACAAGTCTTAACATGCAAAATGTTTGAACAAGTTTTTATAACGTGTAAAGCACGTACATACATTTCAATTAGATTTTTTTTCAAAAAAAAAATCTGAATTGGAAAATTCTCCTACGTGAGTTTTTAACTTTCTCCAGTGAAGGTAAGAGTATGAAGCTTTCAACCAGTCAGTGATCAAACCAGTTTTCTGAAATAGCTTAATGGTGCATGTCATGAACCGTGAAAGGATTTCTACGTGGTGCAATTTACAACATTAAATTTATATATTTTGTATTTGAAACCAACCTGAACTGGATGAATCAATGATGGCAACAAACTGCAACATGTGGGAACAAAATAGGGGAACAAATTGGCAAAAGGAAGGTTGGAACTGACCAGAATCCATTCACACTGCAGCAGCAATATATAAGCCATGCTTTCTCTGTCTGGTTCCTCCCATGCTCCACACTTTAATGGATGACCTTACACTTGTGTGTAAAACAATAATGGAAATGTGCTGTTTGTGCTGCGTGTGTGTCAGCAGAGGGTGTGATTGACTATAAAGGGAACAGCCAAAGCCAGTCGCTCAAAATCCTTGTTGGACGGTTTCAAATCCCCCACTCGGCTCAGAGTGAAGAACATGAGGGAGGTACTGCAGATGTGCGTATGTGAGCATGTTTTCTAGAAGTACATGTGTGCCGGATTCTATATGTCAGTAAAGCCTTTCCAGTGTAGGAATGGGAGAGATGCTGACAGACAAACAGAAAGAGACACAGATCTACAGAGTAGAGAGAGAAAAAGAAAGGAGAGAGACAGAGAGAGAGAAAGACAGAGAGAGAGAGAGAGAGAGAGAGAGAGAGAGAGAGAGAGAGAGAAAAAGAAAGGAGAGAGAGACAGAGAGAGAGAGAGAGAGAGAGAGAGAGAGAGAGAGAGAGAAAGAGAGAGAGGGGTGGGGTTAATTTGAAGTGGGCGGGGCTAAACCCGTCAATCAGCGGTGGTTGTCTGGCGAGCGGGCGGTCCTGCACAGCGGGACATCCAATGGGAGTCGACGCTGCTCGTGTCGCCATGGTGACGGGGCTGTGCCCAAGGAGGTTGTGATGGGTTGACAGGTGCGTGACAGTCGGAGGCTCTCTGTAAGCATGTACGCCAAAGGCAAGAGCAGCAACGTGCCGTCCGACAGCCAAGCCAGAGAAAAGTAAGTTTTTATTTATGGGGGAGGAAACAGCGGCTCTGAGGGAAGTTCACGAGCGGCCGCGGGGACCAGTCACACACTGAGCTGCGGCAGGGGAGGGCGCAACGAGACTCACTCAGTTTGCACGGAGCTCTGTGCCCAGCGCTCTGCAAGCCCTGGAAAGTTCACTGCTTCCTTTTATTTAAGATAGACATTTTGTCAGGAGCTCAAGACGGTGGTAGGGATGGAACTATCTTTAGTTTGAGCTCCAGGGTTTTCTACATGCATTTGTTCTGAGACGTTTTCAATTGAAGTCCAGCAGCGTCCTGCTTTGTGACGCCTTTGCATGTTTTAATCTAACACGTATTGGTAATGTCTATCTTTGGTGTATATTTTTTTATTTTATTTTATTTTATTTGCATTGCGACACTGGTACGGATTCGATGGTGGCACCATAAATAGTTTATTTGTAATCATGCGGAGCGAAACTCTGCTGGAGCAGTCGACCGGAGCAAAAGAGAAAGTCGGAGCGTTCGGCTCCCCGGAGCCGCAATGTGGCTCTGTCTGGGGGACAAACGCCGGTCAGTCCCACCTGCAGCGGTGGGTGAGATGTGTGGCTGCAGACCGAGACGTTGTTCTGTTCGGCTGTCCTGAAAATATCTGAAATGGGAGTTTTTGTGCTTGTCGATGTATGAGCTGCGCTTAATCATCTTCAAATTGAGTTTAACCCAGGAGGCTCATTAGACAGGAGCTTTTACTGTGGCGAACTTGACAATTTCAACATCTGTTCACGAGAATGATAAACTAAACTTGGAATTTATTTTTATTTTTCCCCTCTGTGCATATGTTGTAAGTTAACACGTATTGGTAATCTTCTAAAATTAGTGCCAATCAACATTGCCACTAATTTTAGAAGATTGTTCAATGAGGTTTTTTTTTTTACTTTGCTTTATTAGTGAGCTATTTATAAAAGTATTTATCCTTCATGTCTTGTTTTGTTTTGTGTAGCATTTAAACTTTTTAATAGCCATCACTCCATCGCAGCTCTGCTCTCTACCAGCTTTTACAGCATCATAAAGTCACTGGGTTTAGTACACCAACCTGAAGTTTTTAGTGCCCTCTTTCCTCAGCTCACCTTTTGGAAAACTTTATGTAAGTGCTCCTGTATTCAGCTATTTGTATTGTAGTTCTTAAAGTTGCTCATATAAAAGGATGTTTATTGTTATTATGCGTACTTAACGTACATTGATGCATTATGTCTGACTCTGGGCTGGAGGCTAAGCATTTTAGTGTATCGCCATTGTAATGCTTGTTCTTTAGTGCCCTTTATTTCTGCACCAGTAGAAACATTTTAGATTTTGTCCGATTTTCTAGTACATCTATGTATATAGATGTGCACTTTTTAATTAATTAATAATTAGTTATTATTTTTTGTTTAAGTCTGTTGGTGTCTGAACTTTTTGTCACTTGTTGGCAAAATTTTGAGTCAAAAATACTCGAGGACCAAGAAAAAACAAACCTAAAAACAAATCAATAAATAGTAAATAAAGTCTTTTTTTTTTTTGCAGGAAAGGGATGTTAAAGTGAAAAATGATTTTGTATTAAGAGAAAGGGATCTCATTCTCTATTTTTGACCAAATTCATTCTCAGTAAACGAACAGGATTTCAATGACTTTCTTTCAAAATGTTAGTTATGTTTAGCCAAGTTTAATAAAATCTGATGCATGTAATGTACCAGCTTAAGACAGCTCACCAGAAATTGCACATGCTCTAAAGTGTAAACAACCGCGTGGGGAGTTGGACCATATCTAAAATGTCTTATGCATTCCTCTTGCCCTGATTTTAATTGCTTAGTATTTGGAAATGTGGCCAGCGCACATTCACTTCCTCCTCTATCATTTCCAAACTACAGCCGGAGATGGACTGCAATTCAAAAAGAGCACAGAAAATTAACATCTATGATTCACAACTTTTCCTTCTGTTCAATGATTGGCCTAGTAGAAGTCCTAACAAGTGCAATGGTTGAAATCCTAGACGAAGCACTGAAGAGTGATGAGAATCGAACAAAAATGAACATCGCCAAGCTTGGGTTTGTTTTTGTTTGCCTGAAATACAATTTCTGCAGTTGTTTTACACCACTTAAAAACTTGAAAAATCCACTTAGTGATTTACAACTAAAGGAATAATAGAGTAGTCCTGGCAACATAAGAGACTTTGTTGGTAAAAGACTAAGGCAGTAGATTAATCTTTCTGTCAGGATGGATGGTGTGCAAGACCAGAAATTGAAGGGAATTTGACCAGGCTGAATATCATTGATGTTGTGCCAGTTCACCCTTAGCATGAACTTGATATAAGTCCACACATAATTCACAGTCACACGGACTAGTTCTCATTCATTCATCACTCTTTTTAGGTAAAAACAATGAATAAGTGTCTTAATTATGTCATTGCATAATGAGATATTTAATAGAATTACTTCTTGTTCTCTAAAGACTGCATTTTCCACAATGCTCATATAAAGACTTTCTGGTGGACTAATGAGGCTATTTTGTTGCGCATGTTAAGTGCTGAGAAGTTCTTGAGCAGTTATTTCTAGCTGAATACCTGTACGATTATCTGCGACAAAAGTCAGTAGTGACAGAATGGACTTAGATGTGAGTTTATTTCCCTGCTCATTTCTGGTGTACCTGCAAATCCACACAGCGTGACGTACTTCTTACCCGCAGAAGGCTCTTACACAGTGTTGCAAAACCAAGGAACAGAAAAGCAGCCCAGCATAATACGATAAGTTTGGTGGTTCAGGCATGTGTGCCATAATGACCAAACTCTGCTCACACACAAACACACAGAAGTCATCTGGCCCTTGCCTTGTATGAGAAATGTTGCAGATGATTCCTACTTTGCAGTTTACGTCTTTTATTTATAGCCTGGATCAAGTTTAACAGGTCTGAATGCTTGTCCAAAATGTCAGAGTTTGGATTGTGAGGAAGTCAATCACTAGCCACAGTGTCATTTGTAAGCACACACACATATATGTATGTGTGTTAAAAATGCTTGTGTCTCCTGTTTAGGTTAAATCCAAGGAGAAGTCTATAAAAGGCCACATTAATGCACAATTAATGACTGTTGGACATTTGTTGTGTGTTTTGAATCCAGTAAGTAAACAATGTGACTGAGTATTCATCTTAGACCTTTAGCCAAGTTCTTTATTATAGATCGATATAAAAGGGACTGAACAGTGGGTTCTGCTCTGTCACTGGCTTACTGCGTGTTCTGACTGAGGCAGTGATGGAGAGCTTGCTGCAGGCCAGAAAGAGACTTCCCGTGAACACTGCATCTCTGGTGGAAGGACATGCACTGACACTTATTCTGTAGAAGTTGCTTAAAGACATACAGAACATCCGTACAGCGATGCCGTCATATCATGGGGTTTGTGACAAATAACATTTGTATGTGTTGTAAAGAAAACAGTGTGACTGATATTGATGATAACTTACATTTTATATTTCATCAGCAATATCAAGCAATAGGCAAAAAGCATAAACGGTTTTTTGCACATGAACACTGTTCATTCTTTTGTGAAATGCCAAACTAGGCTTGGCCACCCAGTACCATACTGCCAAAACCTCTCCAGTAGAAGAATCTGTTGTAGTAGTGCTGCACTCCACAGATCAGATCTTTATTGAGGAGCAGTAAGAAGAAAGTATATGTTGAAAAAAAATTCACATTTATTTGGGAAAAACTGCAAAAGGTTTGTGGATGTCTCTGGCCAAATGAAAGCATTTTTTTTAGTTATATGCAAGACACAAGTGGTTTAAAACTAACACTGCACATCACCATGAACTCCCTCACAGTGAAATGTGGTGGTGGCAGCATTATGTTGCGGGAGTGGATTTGTATAGGAGATGCAGAGAAAGACGGGAAGATGAAGGGAACTAAAGGAAGGGAAGGACTGAAGACTGGGTTTTAGCAGGACAAGTAACCTTTATAACCTGAGTATGATAGAATAGTTTACATAAAAACATGAGTATGCTTAAGTTTCTTGCACAGTGCTCAAAAACTTTTAAAATTCTATTTCCCCATATTTATTTTGGTTTTGAATATTTTCTTTGATTAAAAAAAATTAGGGAAATTTGACCACATGAAAATCAATGTACTTGTAATGCTGTTCATCAATCATATTCCATTCTACCCACTTTGAGTGAGCGTGTTATAACAAACTGATAGAATAATTAAAAGTCTATATCCCTGACATATCAAAAGTATATAAAATTCTTATATGTATTTGCCTACATACATATATATCTATTGATACCATTTTAAATTTCACAATAAGAGCGAGGTAAAAAACTTTGCAAATAATGTATAAATTTCCCAGTTAATAATTCAACTGATGTTGCTGCAGCTCAGCTCATTATCTGTGCTTACATTTCACCGTACAAGTCACGGTCGATCGGCTGTTAGTGCAAAAGCCACAAAGGAGAAGAAAGGAATGGGCAGCAAGGAAACATTAGATGAAAAAGGGGGGAGGGAATCAAGTGAGGCAAAGTTTTGTTGTCTGTTAACAAGCAGACTTGTTTATCTGTGGTCTGTATCAGAGAAGCAGAGCAGGCCCGCCACTGCTGAGCCCTCAGTTGCTTCTCATTTCTGTGGCGCAGCAGGGGATCGGAGAGCGGGAGAGATGGAGAGTAGCAACAGATTGAGGAAAACGAAGGAGGAGGAGACAGAGCGGGACTGAGGGAATTTGCTGGATCATTAGTTTACAGTGTTGTCGTATTGACCTTAGAATGGACCCCTGTAGACAAGGGGCTCTGGCATCGAGCCCATGTAGATGTAGGGCTCTGAAAGCAGCTGGCCTCTATGGATTCCTGTACAACGTGTTGGTGGTGTGTGAGATATGTATGTATGTATGTTTGGTTGCATGTACACCTATACATGCATACATGCGTGTGTGTGTGTGTCAGCGTTTCAGAGTATAAGGCAGTCTTCACACCTGTGTGTCCAAAGAACACCCTCCATAGCGT